ATTATAATTATTATTATATTATATTATATTATATTATTATATTATTATTATTATTACATTATTATTATTATAATATACTATTATTATATTATTATTATTTAATATAATAATAATAAATTATTATATTTATTATTTTATTATGATAGTTATTATTATATTATTATTATTATTACATTATTATAATTATTATTCTTATAGTATATTATTATATTATTATTATTATTATTATAATTATTATTTTATTGATATTACTATTATATTATATTATTAATATTATTATTATTATTATAATGATTATTATTATTGCTATTACTATTTTTTTTTTTTTTTTTTTTTTTTTTTTTGCCCACAGCGGCATCGGCTACTATGACAATAGCCGCTTCCCTCCTGCCCATACGGTCAATTGCCACTTTCACCACAGGGGTAGATCTGGGTGACTCAGATGTCATGTAAGTAGCTCAGATTTCAATACACAAAAAAAAAAAAAAGACAAGAACAAAAAAAAAATATCTACACATGTATACGCACACACATATTATATCTTATACACAGACATATAATTAACTTAGTCCAGACAAGGACACTAATAAAATAAGTATACATGATCGTGGATACACAAGCATTTAATTACATATCCGACGTTAGTACTTCTTAATCAATCATAGATCATCAGTTTACGTATATGTATTTAGTAGGATCCTACGTAATTGCACTATATTTTTCTAAAAAGTTTGGTAGATTTAAGAAAATCAAGTGTAGAACCTATGTTGGCAGTAGTGAGAAAGCAACTTTCTAAGTCCAGAGCTAGGTTATGTGCTGTTCTAGCAGCTAGGTATAAAGGACACTTAAACAGTATATGCTTCCATGAGAGCAATTTATTACATGTTTCACATCTTGGTGGTGGATTACCTAATAGCATATGGGAGTGAGTAAGAAATGTGTGCCCTATTCTCATTCTCGTAACTACTACTTGTTCTCTACGTGTCATATGTGGAAGGCTCCATTTTTTTATGCTTGGCTTGAACGTTTTCAAAAATTTATTCGAGAGGTTCCATTCTTCCTGCCATGAGTGGAGGACATTTTCCTTCATAGCTTCTTTAGCATCTTCTAGCCGAAGTGGTACACCTGTTACGTCCAATAAAATTGCTTGGCGTGCTGTTTGATCAGCCAGTTCATTTCCATGAATTCCAGAGTGCCCTGGGCTCCAGATGAAAGTAACGTGTTTATTTTCTTGATACAACTTATGGTGGAGACTCAACGTCTTTATGAGGAGAGGATCTGTTGAGTACTTGTGTTTGATAGCCAATATGGCATTGAGAGAGTCGCTGCAGATAAGGTACTTACCTCCTGCTAAACCTTTATATAGTTAAGAGCCTGAAAGATGGCGAAAACTTCGGCGAAGTATATAGAACATGACGAGTTTAAACTCCATCCACGACAAAATCCTTCAAAGGCTATGGCACAACCAACTCCCTCAGCAGTCTTCGATCCATCAGTATAAATAATCTTGCATGGTTGGTATTTTGCAATAATGTTCAAAAAAGCTCGATTTATAGCCTCATTACAAATTGTCCCTTTTTTGTATCGAGTCATTTCGGTATCGGTCAAAGGTGTTGTTAATGTCCATGGTGGTAGATCAGGTAACATCAAGTTATCCACATCTGGCAGATCGATACCTAGGACCGCTAGTATTTCATTGACCCGGATTCCAAAGGGGCGGGTGGCGGTTGGTCTGTCATGGAAGAGTTCTTCCGTTTCCTCATTAAAAATGATAGAGTTATTGAGATGCAGAGGCTGTGCTGCAATTTTTATTGCATAGTTGAGGCTAAGTTGCTGTATTCTGTATTTCAGAGGTGGCATTCCAGCTTCACAGTATATTGAATCTGAAGGGCTTGTCCTAAAGGCACCAATACATCGTCTTAGACCATCTCTATGAAGTATTTCCAGTTTCGCAATATGAGACTTACGTGCTGATGCAAACACAATTAGACCATACTCAATTTTCGAAAGGACCAAAGATTGATATAAATTCAGAAGGACTTCCCGACTGGCTCCCCACTGGATGTTAGAGATACATTTGATAATGTTCATGGACTTCTTGCACCTAACAAGGATTTTTTCAATCTGAGGACCCCAGTGAAGTTTTTGGTCGAACGTTAGCCCCAGAAGATCAAGAGTATCTTTACACTGTATCAGATGTCCATTTAGTGACAGTCGAGGATTAGTGTGTGGAGTTCTCAGCCTACAAAAGTCTATACAGGCCGTTTTTGCGGGGGAGAATTGAAAACCGAGACTCTCAGCGGTAGTCGTAAGATGATTTATTGCTGCTTGTAGAGTTTCCTCGATTTCTATTAGGTCCTTTGCAGAGAAGAATATAGTGAGGTCGTCCACATATAGACATTTGCCTATATGAGGTTCAATCGACTCAACAAGGGGATTCACGCTATTATAAAGAGTGTCACACTTAGCGTCGATCCTTGAGGGATGCCGTTTTCCTGTGTATAGGCATGTGAGAGCTCATTTCCTATGCGAACTTTGAACAAACGGTCCTCCATGAAATTTGATATGAGAGTTAATAGGTTGCCTCTGAGTCCCCAAGAGTATAGGGTCTTCAGAATTCCGTGCCTCCATGTTCGATCATATGCCCTTTCTAAATCGAAAGAGACTGCCACCATGTGATTTCGGTTAGCAAAACTTGTCTGAATAGCTGATTCAAAGTAGATTAACTGGTCAATAGTGGATCGGTGACGCCGAAAGCCCATTTGATGATTTGAAAGTAAATTCCGTGCTTCAAGGAACCATACTAATCTCCTATTTGCCATTTTTTCAAATATTTTGCTTGGGCAACATGTTAAAGATATAGGGCGATAGCTGCCAGGGTTTTTGGATCTTTATTAGGTTTTAATACAGGAATGATCACAGCCTCGTGCCATTGTTGGGGGTATATACCCTCTTGCCCAAATTTTGTTATAAAGAGTTAGCAAATTCATCTTTCCTGTTGCAGGTAAGTGTCTAATCATTTCATAGTGTATAGAATCTGGCCCTGGAGCAGAGTTGTGGACCCTCACTTAGTGCACTTTCATTTCTTCCAACGTGAAAGGCAAGTTATATGCAGATACCCTGTCTTCAGTAAAATCAAGGTGTGTGTGGTTTCCTCTTCAAACTTTCTTGTTAAAAATTTAGGTGAATAGTGGAAGAATTTTGAGTTTATTCTGGAATTCAAGTGCCAGACATTAACAATCTCTTGATTGTCTGTTATTTCTTTATCATTGATCACAGGACAGGTGATGGAATAGTGGAAGCGTTTTCCCGATAATAATCCATCTTCTTCCAAATCTCAGAATCGGGAGTAGTTCTAGATATAGTAGATACAAATTCCCTCCAGGACGAGTTCTTACTCATCAGAATCAGTTGACGGGCTTTCGCTCTACATTTTTAAACTTGATAAGATTAGATAGTGTTGGGCATCTTTGAATTGGGTAAAAGCTTGTTTTTTCTTCTGTATTGCATGATCAAGTTCGCGGTTCCACCAAGGTACCCTATTGGACCACGGACTGCACTGGCTGTTTTGGGGATAACTACCCTCCGCTGCCTCAATGATGCCATTTGTGATCTCTATTACTGATTCATGTACAGTGCCGTTCATATTGAAAGGATGAATTATGTGTTGGTTACAAAGACCAATCTGCTTTTTTAATGTTCCATTTACTGTGTCGAACGGGAGGATGACACTTCACAAAGGTTCTAATTAAAATAGGTAAGTGATCAGAGAAGTTATCCTCCAATACCTGCCATTGGAAAAGGTGTGCTATTTGTGGGGAACAGATGGTCAAATCATGGCGCTTAAATTGCAAGAACGGGGTATTTAGATAGTGCCTTCTCCAGTATTCAGTATGACTAGGTTATGTTCTTCAACAAGTTCTCGATTATTCTGCCTCGGAGATCATTTTATTGGAACCCCATAGATGATTATGGGAATTGAAGTCGCCCACAAGAAGAAACGGAGAGGGTAGTTGGGATAATAAACTTCTTATTTGGTTCCTATCCCAACTAAAGTCGGGTAAGTAGATGTTACATATCGTGAACTTAAAGGGCAAATGCACTTGTACAGCAACTGACTGCAAGGCTGTTTGTAAGGTTACTTCACTAAAAGGTACGTTATCCTTTATAAATATTGCCACACCTCCCTTAGCCCGAGATTGTGAGGCGGCATCCTTTCGTATATAGTTGTAGTTATGCAGGTTGAACACATCTGTATCACGGAGGTGGGTCTCTTGTAGGCACAAACAGAAAGGAGCTTTATCAACCATTATCGTTTTCAATTCGGGGTAATGTGTCTTAGATCCATTTATATTCCACTGGATTATAGAGTCCATTTAGGGGTTTTTGTTTAAAAGTATATATTGTAGTGTGTCTTGTATCAGCTCCTGACTGTATAAGACGGTTGTGTGAATATAAATAAAATGCGTATTTATCTAAGGACGAATAATAATTTTCAAATACAATGTATAACAGATAATAACAACAAAAATGAATATATACATATATATATATATATACACATATATACAAATACTTAGAACGTTATAACACAGCTTATGTTGGATCTGATATTTGCTCTAATGATGATTCTATCTGAGAATTCGCAGTTGAGCTTTCTCCAGGTTTGGGTGGCTTACGGCGCTTACCCTTTGGCCAACCCTTTTTCCTTTTAGTTTGACTCAGCTCATCTAGTTGTGATTCAGAAGTATCGGTAAGGCAGACTAGCTCTTCAGTCCGAATATATTGTGTCCTTTTTCTTTTATCTGAAAGTTGTGATGGAGTATCAGAGACAATTGAGGCTGCATCGAGGTCATACTGATCCCGTCGCATAGGCCTTCTTTCTGATGAGGTAGACGGCAGGTATATTGATAAACTGGTCTTAATTACCTCATCTATTGCTTTTTTGACCTGTTGGTCTATAATCTGAGCAATATCTGGGATGAGCTCCTGAATGAATTTCTTAGCCGTAGTATTGTCTGACCCAGAGGCTGTTACTTGGGCATACGTTGTATTAGCAGGCATTGCGGCGTAATACTTTCTTTTAGCTTCAATATAGGAAATTTTGTCTGTTGTTCTAATATTCTGTATGCTGACTTCTTCCTTCATTTTCGGACAGTTCTTTGAATTAGACAAGTGGTCATTCCCACAGTTAACACACTTAAATGGTTCGATGCATTCACTAGGTTGATGTAAATCTTTACCACATAGGCACACTTGTTCATACTTGCATGTTGAGGACATATGTCCAAATTTGTGACATCTGAAGCACCTTACGGGGCTTGGAATAAAGGGGCGTACTGGTAGACAGTAAAATGCAAGCTTTTTACTGACTTAGGTAACTTGGGTCTGTTAAAAGTTAGAATATGATGAGGTGTTTCAACCAATAAGCCATTTCTTTTTTGAACTATCCTTGAAACTTCAACAACTCCTTCAGATCGAAGTTCATCTAGAATTTCCTCAACTGGTACATTCAATAAATCAGGGCAACTAACGACTCCTTTTGAAAAATTTAATGTTCTGTGAGGTGAGACTTTTACATCGAATTCACCAAATTTTTCAAGACGTAACAATTTTTCTTCCTTGTGCTGGGGATGATGTTTCGACTACAAGGCCCTGCTTTGTCTTTCTGATACTCTTTAAACTCTCCTACTAATCCAAATAATGTTTTGTTTATAAGAAAGGGGGTTCATTTTATCAAAATTTCCCCCATCTCCTCTTCCCAACACCAAGAACCGGGGAACAATTTCCGCCTTTTCATGGCTGAAGGGGTCGTCGCATTTGGCGGTTGGTCTGCCTGTTGCCACTCCTGTAGCGCCCACATTTAAGGAGGTGAGCACACCTGTTGAATTTTGTGTAGTTCCCATATGCTCAAATAAGTATTCGCCTCCCCGGCTCCCCACCCTCCACGGAGCCTCATTGGGAGGTTATGCCCATAATCGCCTTCCGCTAGGACATAACCCCAGGGATACCGTTAATGCTAGGAAAAGGAGGTATAGTCCCCACAGGTAGCTCCACCATACATCGAGCATAGCGAACTATTCCCGTCTGGCTTCTACTACCTGTGGAGGCTCGCCCAACCAGCCCTCTGACGGGATGGCACAGCCGATTGACCGACGCTGGGCTAGGCGCGGCCGCCCTTCTAGACTGACCGCCGGACCAAGTGGCGTGTTGCCCCCCTGACTGGTAGGGCTCAACCACCAGGATTCCATTTGCCAGCTTACGGGTCGCCGGGCACGGCACAACACCCGGGAAGCTAAGAGGAAGCCCCACGCGGCCGCCTCAACGCATGGAGTAAGGAAAGGACAAGGAAAGTCGTGAGGGCAAGCGGACAGCTGCACAGGATATAATAAAGGAGAAGGATGGGAGAAAAGGGGGAAGGAAAAGCCCAGGGTTTGGCAGAATGAATAAGACTACCAAACCCCGAACTCCCTGCCTGGGGCCGTGGGGCGACGCTCCCCATGTATCTTCCTTGAAACCGGATCAAATATCCAGCTTCAAAGTAGATACACCCTGCGGGGGCTATTATATTATTATTATTATTATATCATTATTATTATTATAATTATTATTATTATTATTATTATTACTATTATTATAATTATATTATTACATTATTATTATTATAAAATATTATTATTATAGTTATTATTATAATTAGTATTATTATTATTATAATTATTATTATTATAGTTATTATTATAATATAATTGTTATTATATTATTATTAATATTATTATTATTATTACTATTATTATTATTAATACTATTATTATTTATTATTATTATTATTATTTATATTATAAATAATAGTAATTATTATTATTATTATTATATTATTATTATGATAGTTATTATTATAATTATTATATTACTATTATTATAATTATATTCTTATTAGTATTATTATATATTATTATTATTATAATTATTATTATTATTATTATTATTACTATTATTATATATAATTATTATCATATTATATTATTAAAATTATTTATTATAATTATTATTATTATTATTATTATATAATTATTCTTATATAGTTATTATTATAATTATAATTGTTATTATTATTATTATTTATTATTATTTATTACTTATTATTATTAATACTATATATTATTATTATTATTATTCTATTATTCTATTATTATTATTATTATTAGTATTATTATTAGTTAGCTATTCTCTGCTACTGCAGGTGGTATCCTCAAACGCGGCATTATACTGCAAGCGTCTGAGTGTGACTATTGGTTCTCTTGTCTATGTGGCTACATTCAGGACCTTGCCTGCTATGACAACTACCTAAGATAGCAGCTTTCTGAAGTGAGAGGTATAGTTTCTGCGGCAGATTTAGTTTTCAATATATTTATGTAGACTCTTAGGTATTTCTCCTGTGGCTCCGATCACTATTGGGATGACTTCAACTTTTTCTTGATTCCACAGTGTTTTTACTTCTGCAGCTAGTGGTAAGTACTTGCGAACCTTTTCTGTCTGCTTCTCAGCTATGTTATGTGGGGCAGGCACACTAATGTCAATTATGCAGGTAACTTGCTTCATTTTATCTTGAACTACGATATCTGGTTTGTTGTATTCCATGGTGTGATCTGTTTGAATTGTTCTATTCCAGTATATTTTATGGCTGTTAGTTTCTATAACTGGAGTCAGCTGGTACTTGTAATATGGGGTGCGGTCAGTTAGTATGTTCGCAGCATAACAAATTTCTTGGTGAACTATTTTAGCCACGTTGTCGTGGCGCTTCAGATACTCAGTGGAAGCTAGGGGAGTGCAGCTCGTCAGGATATGCTCTATTGTTTCCGACTTGTTATGGCATATACGACATCTATCTTCAATGCCTTCTTCTTTCATGATGTATTTTCTATAGTTTAAGGTTGGTATCACCTGATCTTGAATGCCAATCATGAAACCTTCAGTTTCCGAAAATAGCTCCCCACTCTTCAGCCATCCATGTGACGCTTCTGCATCAATGTGATCTGAGCTGAGCATGGCTGGATGTCTTCCATGAAGCTGTTTGGACTTCCATTGATGATACCATTGTTCGTCGGTGGTCACATGGGTTAGAGGTTCATACTGTTCATCCGACAGGTTCAGTGGTGTGAACTTGTATTCAGCTGAAGCTATATTTCTGTGATATGCAGATGTTTCGCCCTTTCTATAAAAGAATCTCCTGAGGTTTTCTATATTCCGCAGGTTAGCTGCTTTAAGGTCAATCACGCCTCGTCCCCCTTTGGATCTTGGCAAGTAGAATCTTTCGATCGAACTCTTGGGATGTCTTGCTCTATGATTTGTAAATAAGACTCTTATGTTTCTGTTTAGCTGCTCTAAGTCAGAGTCTGTCCACTTGATTATTCCGAAGCTATATGTTATTGTCGGAATAGCATATGTGTTAATGGCCCTTACTTTGTGTATTGCGGACAGATGAGTCTTATATTGATTTGACCCTACTCGTTAATCTTTGCTTTAGAGCTTCTTTCATACTTTGGTGTTGATACCCCTTGCTTGATCTAGTCCCAATATGTATAGCTCTCTTTCTCAGACATGCTTCTTATTGTCTGACCCTGCTCCAACATAACCCTGGGTGATCTTCCCATATGCCTTTTCTAATAGCCCCAATCTTACACTTGTCCAGGCCAAACTCCATTCTTGTGTCAGCACTGTATTTCTTTATGGTTTTAAGCAACCTGTCCAGTCCATCCTAGTGGCAGATATTAGTTTGATGTCATCCATGTAAGCTAGATGGCTTATTTGTAGGTTGTTCTGAAGCTTATAACCTTCGTTCTTCTTGTGCAGCATTCTAGATAGAGGTGCTAATACAATACAGTACATAAAGCACTTAGTGCATCTCCCTGGAAGATACCTCTTTTAATGCTGATGGCACCGATGTTGATATTTTCTTCTTTATGGGTTTTACAAGATTAGTTTTCCATTGAGGCATAAGGTTTTGCAGCAATATTATATTATTATTATTATATTATTATTATTACTATTATTATTATTATATTATTTTATACTATTTTACCCTCTGTCGAAGGTATTAATATTTCCCTCAGGCGGTTAGCCAAAGTAAGGAAATAGATCTGCAGCGGTCTTTTCACCGTATCCGGTTCTCATCTCCTAAAACCCTACGTACTGTCCTACATGTTCCCAGCAGTGCAGCTTTTTGCAGTTGCAAGTATATTTTTGGATGGAGCTGTAGCTTTCCAGACTCTTGTGTAGTTTCCTTGGTATCTCTCCAGTAGCTCTATTATAACTGGTATTATAGACACATTGCCCATTTCCCACATGCGTTTGATTTCGTCGGAGAGTGGCAAATACTTATGATTTTTTCCGCATGGGTGGTTTGGATATTAGTAGGAAGAGCCACAGCTATGTCTATTATAAACGTCGTTCTTTCTTCTTTTAGTGTGAGCACTATGTCAGGAATATTGTTGGGGATGGGCCTGTCAGTTATGATTTTACGGTTCCAGTACAGCCTAGAGGTCTCCGTTCTATCACAGGTGGCGGCGTGTATTTATAGTAGGGCTGTGTACCAGTTTCTCCTAGATCTTTTTAGCCAAAGCTTATAAAGTATTTTGGCCACATCATGTGCCTTTCAAGATATTGTTGGAGGCTAAGGGAGAGCAGCCTGCTACAATATGATCTATGTGCTCATCTTTTTCCCCACATATGCGGCATCTGATATCGTCAACGTTCTCATGCATTATACGCTTTCGGTACAACTTTGTTGGGACTACCTGATCCTGGATGGAGGCTATGAAGCCCTCCGTCTCCAGGAACAGATTACCTGACTGCAACCATCCTTGGGAAGCCTTGTGTCAATGGCGTTGTCTTCTATGCGGCTCCTATACCGACCATGTAGTGGTTTGGCTTTCCATTGGCGAACCAGATCCTGCATTGGGGTTATCTTTGCCTCATGGTCGAAAGATTTTTCTGAAAGGTTTAGTGGTGTCAACTTTTATCCGTCTGTGTTATTGCTTGATGCATTCTGCTGGATGTGGCTTTTTGGAGGAAGTACTGGGCGTAGATTGTCCACTTGGCGGTGATGTAGTGTAGGTATGCAAGGTATTCCTCTGCCACCCTCACTTCGTGGTAGATGGAACTGCTCTATGGAACTATTGGGTGGTGTCCCGGTGTTTACGGAATTCTTTTCTGGTTTCCACATTAAGGCGTTCAGTTCTGTATCCGTCCAGTTCAGTATGCCAAACGTGTAGGTAAGGACCGAAGTAGCGTAGGTGCTGACAGCAAGTGCTGTATTACGAGCTGACA